GGGAGTCAACTGCCAGACTCATTCACCTTCTCCTCAAACCCTACATTGTAGCAAGAGCTCAGGCTTGGCTGACTGGAACCCTTTGTAAGACAGGTAATTGTGTTGTTTGTTGGGAATAATAGCTAAGACTGTAAACTAGTAAGTTCATAATAACGTAGAAAAATAACTAACATATTGCTCCATAAACATCTGTTCTGAGTGGTGGGAGGATGAACCTCATTTTGGTCTAATTCCTTTTCATAAAAAAGATATTTAATGTCAACAGCTTCTCAAAACTAGGCTTCCTGTTGATATCCACATTATACAGAAGTAACACTCTTTCAGGTTAAGGGATCTTTATAATATTTTCACTTCTTCATTGAAGTGACTTCCTTTCACATGAGGGAATGAAGATCCCATTGCTCATCCCTGTTGACGGATAACAAATAAATTAACTGAGAACATCAATGAGGTTTTGAAATTCATTGTGAGATCAATGCCATGTTAGTTAGAAAAATTTGCAAGAATGCAGGGGCCTTTAACAGAAACAAAATTCTCAATGAACCTGAAAGCAAATGTTGAGTCATAAGTGATTAGGAAGTGAAGATAAATCAAAGCAATGGATTTTGAGAAGTATAATGAGATGTGTAGAAGTGAACAGGTTTAGACCTCAACATTAAAAGATCAGTCTTGAGGTGGCTAAAGACTTAGCTAACAAAGGGAGAAAATTTATATTTTGTTGTTCCTTCATGAGATAGGGGTGTCATTTATTACCCATTCCTAAATACCCAGAGAGCAGTTTAAGAATCAATCACATTGCTGTGGAGCTAAAGTCACGTATAGGCCAAACCAGGTAATGATGAAAGATTGAGATAACAAGATGTAGAGCTGGATGAACATAGCAGGCCAAGCAGCATCAGAGGAGCAGGAAGGCTGACGGGTCTAGAAGGGTCTAGGCCCGAAACGTCAGCCTTCCTGCTTCTCTGATGCTGCTTGGCCTGCTGTGTTCATCCAGCTCTACACCTTGTTATCTCAGATTCTCCAGCATCTGCAGTTCCTACTATCTCTAATGATGAAAGATTTCCTTCTCTAAAAGATTTTAGTGAACTGGGGTACGGACAGATATGGACCATTTAGCAGATGATTAAATGAGCATACGTAGTGAACTGTCCTATGAAGAGAGATTGAACAAACTGGGCCTGTATCCCTAAAGTTTTGGAAAATGAGAGATAATCTCATTTAAACTTACTATTGAAAGGAATAGACATGGTAGATGCAGGTAAGGTATTTCCCCAAATTGGGCATCCAGAACCAGAGGCACAAGTTAAAAATAATGGGGATAGTGCTTAGGGTGAGGATGAATTTTTTTTTACTCAGAAATTTGTGAATCTTTGGAATTCTCTACCCTAGAGGCTGTGGATATTCAGTCTTTGAATATATTTAAAGTACGGATTGATAGATTTCTGATTATCAATGGTGTAATGCATTCTGGGGCTAGTGTGGGTAAAAGGTATTGAAATCTTTGATCAGCCATGATTACGTTAATCACAAAGTAAGCTTGATGGACTGAATGGCAACACCCTGTTCCTATGTTTCTAAGGTATTGACATTAAAACTCACCTTAAGGTCAAACATGATCATGATCATGAATGATCTGGTTCAACCCAAGAATGTGACTACACAAAGAGGTGGAAGCAGTGGTAATGGACTAGAGTTTGCAGCAGACGATAATTTTGAGCTTCCTGGTGATGAGTTGGAGAAAGCTCTGACTTGATGCTAAATAAGCAATTAGACCATATAGAGGCAGGTGAGTGTTTGAGAGAAGTGAAGGAGAGATGGGGCTAAGTATCATCAGCCCCTTGTGCCAATGGATGATGTCACCCATGGAACAGCATGCTGAATAACAAGCGCAAGGGACCAAGGGAGACTCGGAAGTTTAGGTAGTGTGTGGAGAAGGGATAAAAGGCAATTGCTGCGGATACATGGATGGCCAGAAAAATCGGAATAGAATTCTGTCAGAGCAGAGTCATAAAGTTGAACAAACTTTGAAGGGAGTACATGTGCAGAGGGACCTCGGGTTCACATGTGTGATTCTCTGAAGGTGGCCAAGCAAGTTAAACCAGTTGTTAAGAAGGCTTGTAGGATCCTTGGTTTTATAAATAGAGGTAGTGTATAACAGCAAGGAAGTGATGTTACACCTTTACAAATCACTAGTCAGACCATATTTGGTGTATTGTGTTCAGTTTTGGGAGCCTTGTTCAAGGAAAGATGTTAAAACCCTGGAGAGTGTGCAAAGGAGATTTACTAGAATGATGCCAGGATTGAGGGATTTTAGATACCAGGAAAAATTAGAGAAATTGAGCTTATTCTCCTTGGAGCAGAGAAGATTAAGCAGTGACCTTATTGAGATGTTCAAATTATTCAAAAATTTTGACAGAGTAAAGAAGAATATTCTGATTCCACTTGTTGGTATGTCAATAAATAGGGGTCACAATTTCAAGATTATCCGCAAGAGAGCAAGGAGTGTGACGAGGAGAAACTTCTTTACTCAGAGAGTTGTTAAGATTTGGAATGTGCTGCCTGGGAGAGTGGTGGAGGTGGATTCTATAGGAGGTTTCAAAAGAGAACTGGATATATATTTGAAATCGATGAATTTAGAGGCCTACAGGGATAGGGCTGGAGAATGGGACTAGCTGGGTAACTCTTTTGGGGACTGGTGCAGATATGATGGGTCGAACAGTCTCCTTCAGCACTGTAAAATTCTACAATTCTAAAATAATGAGAGGTAAATGGCATTGGTCGCCACAACAAATGCTTTGGAAAGAAAGAAATGAAAAAGGATAAACTAACGAAAGACAAGTCATGGGTGATTTTGGAGGGCAGTCTTGATAAAATTAGGACAACAATATCTTGTACAACTCATTATGAGGGAAGTCCGATGTCTTCTCACCAACATGAGATATTTCCAAAAGTGGGAATGGCAGCAGCTGAGCCAAATGCAGATAGTTGGACAATGAACTAACAGGTGAATTGATGACAACCTTACAAGCTCACCAGTATTCTACTGGAGTCAGAATGGCCTCCCACCACAGGGGGAGACAACCAGTTACATCGAGGTGGTAGCTTATCTGCTTGAATCAATCCAATGCAGAGATCAAGAAAAAGTTTAAAATTCCACAGCACATTGCTAACTATTGTTAATGTAACAACTCTAACTTTATTTGTAGTTGTACTCAGAAGGGGTCACTACCAAGTTAGATTACTGGCTTTTGGTCTTGGCTATAAAAGGGGAGGAAGTCAATTTGACTGAAATCTATCATTGAGTCCTTACTATTGGTTCTGGTTTGGCCTACACGAAACTCCAGACACACAGCAAGGTGGTTGACTCTTAAATGCCCCCTGGACAATAAACGCTGGCCTAGCCAGTGATGCCCACATCCCATTAAAGAATTTTTTTAAAAATCCTTTACCACAACTTTCATTCATATAACATTTTTTTTTGCAGCAAAGTGCCCCAAGCCACGTCACAGGAGTGCATCAAAAAAAATATTTTTCTTCATGCTGCTGTTGTACACTTTTGGTAACTCAAATGATCATGTCTACCTGCATGCCAGAGCTGATAGCAAGCTGTCAGACTAAGACCAAGGTGCGTAAGCTCATAGCTGTGGTTGCTGATGATCCCATATCAAAACTCACTTGCAGCAGGAGCCTGTGCCTGCAAGGAGTTTGAACTAAAAAATCAATATCAGGCATATCACAGTTGTTGGATAGGGCAGCAAATCCATCAACATTGACAACCTCACTCTGCTACTCATCAATAGCTTCATGTACCTTCAATTGTCATTTACCACAGGCGAAACCTTGATGCTGAAATCAGCACCAAGCTTACCAGGGCTACAGCCGTCATGTTAAAGATGAGAGGTTGAGTGGACTTACAGCAAGCTAATCAAAATATAATGCTCCAACGTGTTTGTGACCTCGTTGCCTCCTCTATAGTAGTGAGCCACCGACAATGAAAATGTCAGAACTTTTGCCATGTCTGTCATCATTGGGCATCCCCTGGCAGGACAGTGTAGCAAAGGTGGAAGTACACCAGCATGCAGGAATCCCCTGCACGTTGGCTTTCGTGAGACAATGGTGACTCCATTGGCTGGATCTCGAGAGCTGAACGGATGAAGACGACATCCCTAAAGGCATGCTCTTTAGCAAGCTAGCTTTTTGCATAAAACCAACAGGTCACCAACATCTGAAATACAAATGCATCTATAAGTCAGACTTCAAGCTCCCAGGGATCACAGATGGTGCATGGGAAGTCCTCACTGCTGACCAGAGTGACAAACAGTCACGGAAAGCAAGGAAAAATGTACAGGCCTAAAGAAATGACCAAAGGCTGGAAAAGGTGACTCGCTGAGAGAAAAATCCTTAAGCTGACTTCAGGCCAACGCGAGTCATCTGTGCCAGTTGCAGAAGAGATTACTAATCATGAATGAGCCTCGACTACCTCTCAGACTCTGAAATCCAGAAGTGACTTACACCGCCCCACGGGGTGCAGTCAGTCATCTCATGTGATGGATGGATGCCGTCATTAAACAAAATCTCACACAGAGTAACATAAGGAGATTTTTAGACAGATTTGGTCTTCTAGGGAGCTGCCAACGGGCCTGTTAAAGGAGCAGAAAGGTAAAAGACACAGGGTATAAAATCTCCCACAGAAGTAGTATGATACTCAGACCATTTACAGCAATTGATGCCACCAGAACTAAAAATGTATCTGTGCCTTCTATTACCAAATGACATATGCTCATTAGCATTATTCATAACTCATTTTGCTTTTCTAAAGGAAATTACTGCACTTATCTGCTGATGGGTTTATGTATTTAATAGTCAGTTAAAATAAATGTACTTTGGCAAAAGTTCTGTGAATAAGGAGTGTGCTGATAAGATGCTGATAAGCTGAAACATAGCAAATGCTTTAAGAAGCTAAGCCAAAAAAATAGTTGTTTCTCTTTAATGAGAATTACCTTGTGCCAGAATGTCAGATTGAACATCTCCGTCATAGTTCTTACAAGCCCAGACAAAACCTCCTGAGGACTTCAACATCTGAGCCACCATATCATCGATTAACCGATGCTCATACCAGATGCCCAGCTTGTCAAAGGCTGCTTTGTAATGTCTGTTGGAGCAAAGGGGACCAGGCAAAAATCAAACAATGCAATGGAAGTATCAATCATTACTAACCATAGACCCTATCACAAGTGACTAGCAAATTCTAGTAAGATCCTGCTTCTTTACAGTAAAAGCCTCAACTATTCACAGTTCAGTAAAATGCTATTGTATTAGGAAAGGAACAGAATTTGTGCAGAAGTGACCTTGTAAAATAAAGCTTGGTCTTTTTGGGACCCATATTGAAAATTGTTCTGGTATATTTGTTTGATATTGTTTCTCGGCACCATGGGAAGCCATGATTATGCATTGTCCAAGTATTTTAACAGTAGGGCTTCTGTAGTTAAATCTCAGGATCTGATTACAATGTACATCCAGCTGAAAGCAAAATTTACTTTTCATATTCAATGGTAAAAGCTCCAGATGGTTAGTGTTAAATTATTGGACTAAACAGTGAAGATTTTCACACACAGTTTCCTGGCACGACCTCTGCTGGAGACCTTTTGTCTACACAGTTAAACCATCACCACTGTACAAACACTCATCAGAGTGCAGGCGGAAAAGCACAAACCTGTGCATTTTTAAATACAAAAAATTCTTTGCTGGAAACAAGGAGAAAAGAATAGAATTACAAAACAGACCTTTCGTGATTGTCTGTACCTGGGTTTCCTCCTTTATAAACCTTCATCAATTTCCAATGTGCTGTTACATAGAATCTCAGTTACATAGAATCGCAGTTACATAGTTTGTGACAAAGGCTTTGTGTAGTCATTAGTATCGTTGTGTTAAATAGCAAGGAAAGAAATGATTCAGGGTAACGTAATTCCTCAATTATCACTGAACCCTTGATTAGTCTCGGTCACTGGAAAGCAAGAGCAAGAGCAGGCCTTAAGCCTTTCCGGGCAGTCAATAGAATCATGTCTGATCTGCAATTTAATTCTGGGTACCTACCATCATCTAGTATCACTGCATACCTTCATTACAAAAAAAAAATTAAAATTAGCAATTGACCCAGTATCAACTGAGTTTCAAACTTCTTCTACCTTTCCATGATCTGATACCTGCCAAGTCTTACACTCAAAGCTCACCTGAATAAAAGCTATGTTAGGTTGAGGTACTAACAGCCATTACACCAAACACCAGTAAGAAATCAATGCTACCAGAGGAGAAAATCAGTGAAAAGAATAACCTGATGTTTTATGTTTGTGTTATATTAGGCTGACTTCTACATTCATTTGTTTTCCTGAATTTAGGAAGGATACTGTCAAGCTGGAGAAGGTTCAGAAGAGATTTACCAGCATGCTGCCAGGTATGGAAGGTTTGAGTTATAAAGCAAGGCTGGAACTTTTTTCACTGGAGCTTAGGAGGTTGGGAGATGACCGAGTAGAAGTTTATAAAATAATGAGAGGTATAGATAGAGTTAATGGTAGTTGTCTTTTCCCTAAGATGGAGGATTACAAGACTGGGGGCACAATTTTAAGGTGAGAGGAGAGAGAGTTAAGCAAAAAAAAGGCAATTTTTTTTTACACAGAGTGGTTCACGTGTGGAATGCACTTCTCGAGGAAGTGGTGGATGTGGGTACGATTACAATGTTTAAAAGATTTTTGGATAGGAGAGGTTTGGAGAGATATGGCCTAGGAGCAGGCAGGTGGGACTAATTTATTTTGGAATTATGTTCGGCATGGACTGGTTGGATTGAAGGGTCTATTTCCGTGCTGTATGACTCTATGATTTGATTTGATTTATTATTGTCACCTGTAGTTAGGTACAGTGAAACATTTTGTTTTGCGTACAGTACAGGCAGATCATACCATACAAAGTGCATAAGGGTAATAGAACAGAGGGAGGAATACAACGTTATGGCTACAGAGAAGGTGCAAAAAGAGTAAGATTAACATTGAAGTTAAAATTTGAGAGGTCCATTCAGAAGTCTAATAACCATAAGGAAAAAGCTGTTCTTGAATCTGTTGGTATGTGTGTTTAAGCTTTTGTATCTTCTGCCCAACGGAAGAGGTTGGAAGTGATTATACCCTGGGTGGGAGGGGACTTTATGTTGGCTGCCTTTCAGAGGCAGCGAGAAGTGTAGATAGAATAAATGGATGGGAAGTTGGTTTGCATGATCGACTAGGCTATGTTCACAACTTGCTGTAATTTCTTACGGTCCTGGACAGAGCAGTTGCCGTACCAGGCTGTGATGCATCCAGACAGAATACTTTCTATGGTGCATCTATAAAAGTTGGTAAGAGTCCTTACAGACATGTGAATTTCCCTAGCCTCCTGAGGACGTAGAGTTGTTGTTGTTGTGCTTTCTTGACTGTCACACTAACGTGGGTAGACCAGGACAGATTGTTAGTGATCATCACTCCTAGCAACTTGATGCTGTCGACCATCTCCACATCAGCACCACTGATGTAGACAGGGGCGTACCCTCCACTCTGCTTCCTGAAGTCAATGGCCAGCTCTTTTGTTTTGCTGACGTTGAGGGAGAGTTTGTTATCTTTACACTATACCACCAAGCACTCTATCTCATTCCTGTATTCTGTCTTGTCATTGTTGGAGATCTGGCCTACAATGGTGGTGTAGTTAGCGAACTTGTAGATGGAGCTAGGACAAAATTTGGCTACACAGTCATGAGTGTACAGGGAGTACAGTAAGGGGCTGAGTATGCAGCCTTGCATGGTGCCAGTGTTGAGGGTTGTCGTGGAGGTGGTATTGTGCCCTATTCTCACTGATTGCAGTCTGTGGGTCAGGAAGTCAAGGATCCAATCACAGGGGGTGGAGCAGAAGCTTAGGAGAAATGGTCGGGAATTTGGAATTCTCATAATCTGGCTCATGATCTGGTAATGATATTGTTGCTTTTTGAATGGCAAACAAAGAATAATCTCACAATTTGCTTCTGTATTGTGGAATACAGAAGCAAACTGTATATGTCTGAAATACTTTTGTGTACAGATTCTACTCTGACTGAGCAGTCAGGAATTAAGCAGAGTTATAGACTCCTAAAAAGCAGTGCAATTTTTGCAACAGAAGAGTCGAGGGGGCAAAAAGACTGAAAAGGAAATCTCAAAATTTCAGCACAGACAAGTTAATTTGTTTAAGTGAAGCAGAACACAAAGTGCAGGGAGTGGAAAAAGGAAATACAAGGGGCAAAGAGAAGGTAACTTAAAAAAAGAACACTAAAGTCTTTTATAAACATATAAAGAGTAAAAGTCAAAATAATAGGCAAAGGAAGGGTGAGGTCGATTAGGGACTGAAAAGGAAATCTTGCGTTGGCTAAGGTACTAAATTAGTACATTTCATCTGTTTGCACATAAAAATGCAGCTAATATCACAACAAAGGAGGAGGGAGTAGGGCAAACGGACAGGATAAAATTAAATAAAGGCGTAAAAGGTAGGCAGTGCACAGAAGAGAACCATGAGGTCTGGATGGGATGTGTAGCTTTTGAGGGCCAGCCCACCTTTGCTGGCTGACCAGCCCTGTTTTAATTTTTCAGGCAATGGCACTTTAATTATTCTCTAAACATGCAAGCACTCTCTGCGGTAGCCCGTTCCATATTCTCATTATAAAAGTCATACAGTTGTACAGCACGAAAACAGACCCTTGTCCATGCCAACTAGATTTCCTAAATTAATCTAGTCCCATTTGCCAGCATTTGGCCCATATCCCTCTAAACACTTCCTATTCATGTTCCCATCCAGATTCTTTTTAATCATTATAATTAGACCATCCTCTACCACTTCCATACACACACCACCCTCTGCATGAAAAAGTTGCCCCTTAGATCCCTTTTAAATCCTTCCCCTCTCACCTTAAACCTATGCTCTCCAATTTTGGACTCCCCTACTCTGGGGAAAAGACTTTGTCTATTCACCCGATCCATGCCCCTCATGATTTCATAAAGCTCTATAAGGTTACCCTTCAGCCTCCAATGCTCCAGGGAAAATAGCCCCAGCCCATTCAGCCTCTCCCTATAGCTCAAACCTCCAACCCTGGCAACATCCTTGTAAATCTTTTTTGAATGCTTTCAAATTTCACAACATCTTTCCTATAGCAAGGAGACCAGAATTCAACTCAGTTTTGAATTGCCTGTTTATTAGCTTGCTGACAGTCTTATATTGGTGGCCTGTAGTTTTGCTTTTTCCAACAATGAGAAACACTGGGAGGTGTTTAATGAAGGTGATAGGGGTCAAGCCAGTGAGAGTCCTATCTCACCTCTATTCGGCAATGCCCACTGAATTAGGTGTCACTCAAGCACTCGACAGACTTGCAATAGGTCTGTCCCAGGATTGAGACTGCCACCTACCCATGACACAGGATTGTGGATGGACAGTCGTGACTGCAGGAGGGTATTCAAAGACTATAAGTTGTGCTGAAGGTGGAGTAATGGGGAGGGTCAGCAGCAAGGAGAATGGGGTGGCTCTCAACGGGATCCCCGTGCCCGACACCAGAGCCCTCTTTCAGGCACTGAGTACCTCTGAAGGAATGATACCCACCCAGCCCACCTGCCCACAAAAAGCCCCAGGTGGATTTCCATGTCTCGGAATGCATGGTAGCTAAACCCACCGATGATGCAAAGATCAGGAGGGGAGTAAATTGCAAAGAGGAATATAGATAGATTAATTGAGTATGCAAAAAATTGGCAAATAGTACAATAAACCTTGCCCATCTGACCTGGTTTGCCTTTAGAGAAATTAAATGCAGTGGAATACAAGGTCCCAGTGATCTTGCAGGAGTTTGGCTCAATGCGCCAGAGACTATCTGCCCAATAGTGGCGGGTACCAAATTAGGCCCAGGAATGCTCCAACTAGGAGAAGTTATTCATAGAATTCCTTCAGTGCGAAAAGAGGCTAAGTGGCCCACCAAGTCCACACCAACCCTCCGATGAGCATCCCAACAGACCCAGCCCCCTCACCCTATTTCCCTTAGCTAACCCACCTAGCCTATTCAGCCCTGGACACAGTGAGCAATTTCACTTTGGCCAATCCACCTAACCTGCACATCTTTGGACC